GATGTTTATGGGGCGAGCGAGCAGCAGCCATGTGCTGCGGGGCCAGCGCCCTCTCCCGGGAAGAAGACCGGGGAGAAGCGGCCCCTGCCTGCTCCATGCTGCTTGTTTACCGCCTGTCTTCCCCTCCTCCCCTTGCGCGCTGTGGTTATGGGTTTTGTTCTTTCTTTTTCCTATTTTTTTTTTTTTTTTTTCGGAGGGAAGCACAGCTCGGGCTGCGCCTTGGCCCAGCTGCGTGCTCCAGTGACCCTTATTGTCATCAGCATCCAGGCAGACAAAAACCCCTCGCCGGGGAGCGGGACGAGGCGCGGTGCCAACAGGTGACACCTCCCAGGGGTGGGTTGCCATCGGCCTTCAAAGCGCCCCCGCTCCGCACGCCTGGCGAGCCCCGACGAAGACAATGCGGCGCTCCAGGGGCTCGCCCTGGCTGGCACATGTTTTTCTCTCTTCCTACCATTAATCCGTGGGAACACCTTTATGCGCCCGCCGCGACACTTCCCTCCGGCTGGGTCCGTATCCTGCGGGGACTGCCAGGGCTGAAAAAGCGCCTGGCGAGCTCCGAGGGTCGGTCATGCCGGGCTTCGTAGCCCTCTGCCTGTAAGGCAGTGGTGCAAACCCAAAGGGAGGTCCCTGATCTCCCCCAAAGAGGGTTGGGGACCAGGATGCTCGAGGCTCAAGCAGCTGGCATGGGACATGCCCTCTCTGATGTGGAGCTGCCCAGCATCTCTTTTCCCATCCTCCACCCTCACGAGTTTGGGAATGCCTTAAAGTGCAGCACTGTCACACCACAAGGAAAAGAAAAAATAATAAAAAAGAGGGGATTTGAGGGTTAAAAAGGCAGAAACTGAAATTTCCCTGTGATTTGGGGAAAGGGACCTCTCCCCAGCTGCCCCAGGTAGCACAGGAATGGAGGGGGGACCCTTTGGGCAGCGCTCACTGCAGACCCTGCAGCAAAGGGCTGACCCCAGGAGCACATAAACCAGCTCTGCTAAGCACAGGTACCCATTTGTCTTTCACCTACACCAAACTCATATCTGAAATCCAAATTCATCATTTCTTTAAGATGCAGATGTCACACAGGGAGGAGGAGTGGTCCATTTTGTTGTGACCGCTTAGATCCTAGAAGGAGGCCTGATGCACCCAAAATCTCCAAGCAGTGGCAGCAGGAGGGCAGAGAAGAACATCTTCCCCCTGTGCCCAACAGCTCAGACATTCCCCAATTTGACCTACTGCCTTCAGACCACCCTGTGAAACCACTATGTGCTGCGTGGTCACACGTAGGGCACAACCAAAATGCACCCATGTGAGACCAGGGACCAGCCAGATGTCCCCGCAGTGTGTCACCTCCACCTGCTTTCCCAAATTATTCCCCTAGCCTTGCTGGGGGCTGCTGGTGGGACCTGCTCCCAGGTGGCCACCACCATCCCTAGGACCTGCACACCCCAGAGGGACTCACAGGGCTAGAAACGCAACCCTATACCCACGGGTTAACAACCCCAAGACCTCAGTGAGATGAACAACTGCTTAATTAATTAACCAACATGTTGCCCTCAAACAGGGGTCAGCCGGTGAGGATGGGGAGCTCACCACGGCGCCAGGGGACTGACCTTGTGCGGGCAGCGGTGGCCAAGCGGTCTCCCCGGGAGGGTGGCAGGAGGCTGACGAAACCCCCCGGGGCAGGGAGGCGGTAGCTGCTCGCCCGATAAGCGAGCAAACATTGCAGGCTCCGCAGCAGCCCCATGCTCCCTTTGAAGATGCTGCCAGGGTCAAGGGTAGCCGAGGGGTGGCGGCGATCGGAGGGCTTTCCAAGGCAGAGCGAGCTGGCGATTACCTGGGCTGCGCGGAAGGGTGATTTGGGAAAGCAGATTAACAAAAAACGTGCAGAGGCAGATGCAAAAAATAAACAAAAAAAGGAAAAAAAAAAAAAAAAAACACCTCCCTCCCCAGGCAGCTCAGCTGCAATAGGCACCGATGACGCATTTAGGGGAAGAGGGGCCTTGGAAAGGCAGCAGCCAGGAGGGCCTTGTGCACAACCCCACGGTTGCTCGCGCTTCCCTCTCCGGCCCTTTCTCAGCCCCGTATCCCCAGGAGGCTCTTTGCAAAAGGGGCACGGAGCATTCCCTGCTCAGGGCTCGCCCTGCTGCAAGCCCAGCACCTACCTGCAGGCTCTGCCCTCCTTGCATGCAGACCCTCAGCAGCAGCCCAGTGCCTCCGGCGAGCCGGGCACGGCGCTGCGAAGCACGTGCTCTTCCTTCAAACGCGGCCAGGGGAAGCTGGAAGAGGAGAACATTACGGGCAGGCAGGATCGGGGATTTGAGACCTAGAAATTGCTTGGCTCTCCTTGCTCTGCACAAGGGTGGAGAATATCCCAGGGAGCGCTCAGCGCATGCCTTTCCCTTGCAGTTGGAAATTGGTCACAGTGTGCATTGGCAAATTTTTTTCTTTTCTTTTTCTTATATTTTTTTTTTGGTTCTTTCCTTTTTTTTCTTTTTTTTCTTTCTTTATTAGTGCTGTTCATGCTGCTAAGCGCACTCCCAGCTAGGTCAGGGCCACGTTAACCACGGCTGGCAGCTTAATTTCAGCCTAATACACGTTACAGCTTTGTGAGAAGGAATGCAGAAATCCTCAAAGCTCTGCCCAAGTGCGCTCAGTGGCCGGATCAGGGCCTGGCGCCGTGCATACAAGGCAGCTGCGATACTGTCTGCGCCCCTTCCGTGTGGGCGACCTGCATCCCTCCAGCCCCAGCACGTGCCTCACCTGGAAAGCAGACACGTGCGGGATTACGAGCGGTTTTGCTCGAGCTGAAGAAGGGGCAGGCGAAGGCAAAGCTTGCTGCAGGGGCCGTCAGGTGCAGTGGGTCAGAGCCCGGCCTCTGCGGTAAATCCCGAGCAAGAAAACCACATACAGATGGCAACAGGCTCCGAAATACTTCTAAATAACATAAGGGAATACCAGAGGTGTCCTTGCCAAGCAAAAAAAAAAAAAAATTGTACACAGCCAGGAGACAGAGCCTGAAAATTACATTTTTAAAAAATAGCCTCATATATTCAAGAAATAAAATAATTATTGGAGCTGAACTGCTGTAACTGAGACTTCATGAAATTAGTTTTACGGAGCTATGAGCCCAGAAGGATCCGACCCGTTGCTGATGCAGTCTTTGAGGTGTCCTAACCTATCTATACGAGAACAGGTGCATGGAAGGGGAAGAAAAAAAAAAACAAACCAGGTTTTTCCCCCAGATCTCACTCTGTGCATGGCCAGCAGGTTTTAAAACCTGATGCTGCAGCAGGATGCTTGCACCGCTGCCCCGTGCTGGAGCTTCTCAGCTTGGAGGGGCTGCAGACCTGAGACCGAAAGCAAAGCAGAACAGTTTGGGGTTGCCCTGGGTCTGTGGGGTGCTGCAGCACCTAACGGGGAGATTTGTGAGGCTGTGAGCCCTCGGGACAGCTCGGGCTGCTCCCACAGGCACCGAGGTCCTGGTGACCCCGTGGCCAGGCAGCCTTGGACCTTGCCTCGGCAGCGAGCCGTGCCAGCTTGTGCCGGGCAAGGACGAGAGCCCTGGCCACGTCCCCTCTGCCAGCACAGGCTGCCTGGGGAGCGCTGGTGGACGTGGCCTCAGGTCTGCCGAGGGTGGGCTGCTCCCCGGGGCGTAGCAGGGGCCGGGTGGGTCGGGAGTGAAGCCCTACTGACGTGGTCGGTGTTGCAACCCTGCCCTTATCTTTGTACAAAGAGCGCAGCCACCCCGAGCTGCTCCGTGAGCTCCCTTATAAATCGGGGCTCTCCTCACATCTTCCTCTTTTTTTCTTAATATATATATTTTTTTAATTTCCCCCCCTCTTTCCTTTCCAGGCAGAAAGCTTGCAGTCCTGCTGGGGTCAGCCGGGAGCCAGAGCGGTGTGAGCAGAGCTCCGCCAGCCTCTGAGGATCTCACTGGGCATTTGTTCAGTTACCAACTGGAAAATCCACGTTTCTGACCGCTGCAACCTTTTCCCAAGGACTTGTGAGCCTGTCATGTGTGACAGCCGTGCCAGCTCATCCCTAACCCCCCCCTCCTCGTCTCTCAGGCTCAGCAGCACCAGCACTTACGAATTTGTGATGGATGCTGCTCCTCCCCAGGGTCTCCTGAAACTCCTTCACGCAGCTTTTCCCGGCACCGCTGTCTCCTCTGCTCACCTGCCGGAACAAACAGACCCTGCTCACGGCTCACCCTTCCCCACATCATTTTGGGGAGGGCTGGGTTTCACCATAACACCTGACCAACGTGCCCCTGCAGCCCCCCAGCCCTGACCGAGGGAAGGGGACGGTGCCTCCCCAGGGGACACGCGTATGGGGACGGTCTGGGTGCAATCTCTTAACATATTTTCCCAATTCTCCATCGTGTCCCTCCTGGGAAGAAGACCATGTGGCACATTACAAGCCCCCTGCCCTCCTCGTGGCCGTGTCCCCGCTGGGGACAGTGTCGCATTCCTGGTGTGGCAGCGCCACCTGGTGAGGTGGCCGGGGGGCCACCAAAGTCCCCTCGCTCCCTCCAGGTTTTTTTGTTTTTTTGTTTTTTTTGCCCACCACCACCCGCTCCTGCTGATCTGCTGGGACCAGGTGGTCTTCCAGAGTGCCACCTCGGTGCTTTTTCATTTTTCTCTTCCTTGGAGGGGCTCCAAAATTGGGGATCTGAGAGCCAAGCCCACCGATGCCGGATGGCTGACGGGGTTGCTCCGTCCACCACGACCATAGCGGGGTCTCCTACGAAGTGTCAGGCACCACCCAGGCACGGGACCGGGTGCCTGAACGGGTAGAGGGGAAGGACATCATTTTGGGATTGCCCCAGTGCATTGGCAGGGCTGGCACCCAAAAACACCGCGTGTCCCTGAGGGGCAGCGAAGCCCAAGCTGTGGGGCTGTGCCTTGTGGTCCCTAAGAGCACCGCGTGTCCCCGAGGGTTGGGGCTGGGAGGAACGTGTCACAGGCAGCGTGGCACTCTGGAACGTGTCCCTGGGATACAGCAACATGACAGCCACCGGTGAGTGACCTTGGCTGGAGGCTTGGGGCCCTCCAAGCACACCCCGAAGGGGACAACACGGGGGGGAAGAGCAGCATCCCTTAGCCTGGGCCCTCCCTGGGACACAGCCGTGCCCTCACACCCAGATCTTTCAGAAGGAATTAAAACTCCTCGGGACAGGGGGGGGATCTGGGGTGCTGCTGGTGCCTGCCTCCAGCCCAACGCTGCCTGCTAGTTTGGAGGAAAGGCCACAGCATTCGTGCCCAGCCTCCCCAAACCACAAACCCTTGGCGTGTAGGAAGAGGCCACTCGAGTTTTCCAGCCCCCCCATGCATTGAGTGCTTTCCGACTGCCCTGCCGGCAGCCACAGGGATGCAAGGGGAACCCAGAGCACAAATCCCACCCAGCATCACATTTTTCTGAGAGCTGTTCTGGCCCAGCTCTTCCCTCTTCTCATCTTTTGGTTCCCATCCACCTTTCGGCAGCACAAAGCCCCCACAACTTTCTCTTCTCCCCCCCCGCAGCAACCATAGCCTCTACGGACATGGGGCTGCTGCTGAGAGATGAAGTTTTTGTCGACTTTTTCAACACGTTTCTGAACCTTCCTGTAAGTCTGCTCCTCCCCCTGAAGGCCGGGACCTTTCTGAGCCTTTCTCAGGTGAACTTTTGGGTTCGGTGTTAGAAAAATTGGGACGACACCACAGTTTGGTTGTCAAGCCAGGGAAAGCTGAGGACTTGGCTCGGAGATGGAGACGGAGGGATGAAGAGGAAGATGGTGCCTTCTCTGCAGCGGGGATGGGCTCTGGGCTTCCCCACCACCCTGCATCCCTTCCAGCTCTCCTTTTCCATGCAGGTATTTGGCCAGACGCCCTTTTACACCAGCAGCACGGGGCAGTGGGACCTGTGGCCAGAGCTGCCCAGCCAGCTGGTGAGAAAACATCCCCTGTGGGGAGAGAGGAGGGCGAGGAGGAGGGAGGAAGGGCGCCGGGTGAGGAAGGAGCTGGTTCCTCATTGCCGAGGCTGTTGTTCATGCAGCCGGGGGAGTGATTTCAAACCAGGCTTCACTTGGCTTTTGAGCCCCAGGAGGGGAGCAGAAGCCACGGGAAGGCAGGGTGCTGGGAAAGCAGGCAGGGGGAGAGGGGGACAGGCAGCAGGGATGTGGCAGGGGCTGCAGCACAAGCATCTCCCTTCCTCCTCCGCATGGGGTTGGCACCCCTCTTTAGCAAACCCCACAGCACGGGCCCCTAACTCACCCCAATTCCCCTCCACGAGCCGGCTCCTCGCTCCCAGCCTGATCCTCTCCCGGGGGTTGTGCTGCAGGATGCCAGCCCCCCGGCTTTGCTGGCCTGGCTGGCGAAGCACCGCCTGCCTCACTTCTGCAGATCCAGCCTCTGCCTCCACCTCGTCCTCTGCCAGAAGCTCCTGGGTTTCATTCGGTCGGAGGAAGCAGGTGAGTCATTGTGGCAGGCACGGAGGAAAGGGAGCGGGGCTTCCTCTCGCCCGGTGGCTGCCGAGCATGGCACTGGGTTGGAAAGGCACCGCACGCCCCTTTTTGGGGGGTCACAGCAAATCCCAGGTGGGATTTCCATAAAACGAACGAGGTTTTCACCCCTCAGCCCTGCTCTTGTTTGTACAGGCTCGCTGCCTCCGTGGGGTTGAGCTGGAATAGCTGCTTAGCAGCAGCTGCAGGGTTTGTAAAAGCAGTGCGTGGGTGAAGCCGGGCTGGAGAGCAGCCTTAGATCCAGGAAAGGGGTCCTGGTGTTTTGGGTCTTACACCATATCGGGTTGTGCTCCTCATTCAGGGCATCCTACACTGGGGAAGTCATAAAATCATAGAACCGTGCAGGCTGGAAAAGACCTTCAAGATCAAACACAACCATCAGCCTGGCTTATTAAGTCCTGCCACGAACCCATATCCCTTAGTACCACAAAATACCCCACAAACCTAAAAAATAACCTGCTAGCTTATGCCCTGGTCTGTCCTAACAGCACCAGGTTGGAGCTGTGCTTGGTTTGCCCCCATATGAATCCCCCCAGCCCAGCATCACTGTGAGGCAAAGCCGCTGGGAAGAACGCTATGGCAGCTGGGATGCAGGCTTTCATTTCAGAAAAAAAAAAAGCGATTTATCAAGGCTCTTGCGCTCTGCTCTCTCTCCCCGACAGAGAAACTGCTGAACTGGCGGAGCGCGGACCGGTGGCTGCTGGAGAAGTGCATCAGCGGCAGCCAGGGCATGTGGCGCTTCCGAGCCTCCACGCAGGGCACGGCAGGTGGGCACGGGGTGCTAAATGCCCCCACCGCGGGCATGCTGCCCCATGGGACACCGGCACAGAGCCAGGGGTGTGGGTGAGCACCGGTGGGATGTGAGATCCTGCTCTGGAAGATGAGGCAGCCGCAGCAGAGCCCAGCTTGCACAGCCCTGGATCTTCTCCACGATTTCGCCTCGCTTCATCCAGGGCATCTTCCCAGCTTTCTCTTAAATCACGGGGCTGCTTTGCTCGCCAGCAGGCTCTCGGAGTAATACCGAGCCCTTCACGTCAGTCTCTTGCCTGATCCGTAGGGGAAGAACTGACCAACTTCTGGCTCAGCACCGAAAGGCTGCTGGGGCTCGACGAGTCGGACGCAGCACAGCAGGACCTCTACCTGGCCCTGATGAACAGGCTGAAAGCCACCCACCTGCGCGAAGGCTCCAGCGTCCTCACCCTCTGCGGCACCCTGGCTGGTAAGGACAGGAGCTGGTGACAAATGGTGACCTTCTCGGAGGGTGACGTGTTCCTGGCTGCTCCCAGGTGGGGATGGGATGCCAACGGTAGTTTGGCTTGGCTGGGCATCTCCCCTGGCACCACCAAGCCTGGATGGAGCTGCCCCTTCATCGTCATCCCCTTCATGATTTCAGGGTCATCGCGCAAAGCCAGGCACGCTGGGGCCATCGGCACCCGGAGGGAGATGCTAGTCAAGATGCAGCAACGCGCCCTGTTTATAATTCAGAGTTACTGGCTCCCTAAATTCCTCATCCAGTGCAAGATGGGCATAGAAGAAGAGAAGCTGTGTTGGCCTCTGCTGCAGGAGTACCAGGAGCGGGTGGCGCAGGGCAGCACACAGGAGCCCCTGGGCGTTTCGGACGATCTCTTCGCAATGCACATTACAAAGAGCCAGGACCCATCAGGGCCCTACTGCAGCAAGAAAGCCAAGGAGAAGGTCTGGGCTCTTGTCAAGGAGGGAAGAGACACCCAAGAAGCGAAGACAAGCTTTCAGGCACAACCAGAGAGGCAGCCAGGGCCAGCTGGGAGCGTGAAGAGATCGCAGCCGGGTAAGGAGGTTTTGGGACCGGGTCCTGCAAGCGCTGCCTTTGGGGGCAAAGAAAGAGCAACCTCTCCCAAAAGACCTAGACCCAAGGCAGAGCTGGCCATCCGTCTGGAGGACCTCTGTGAAAAGAAAGTCCTCTCTAGCCTGCGTTCCTCTACACCCCTTGCCAAGCTGCTGACCCCAAAAACGCCGGCCAAGACCCTGCGCCTCCTCCCCTGGGCCCTCAGTGCCGACAGCTGTGCGGGACGGCCCTTCAGGGACTTCTTGAAGTGCCAGGGCCAGACCACGGAGACTCGTCTGCTGGACCTGTGGCACGACCTGGAGGAATTTCTGCCCGCGGTGCTGGACCCCAGCAGAGAAAACAGCTTCTTCCTGCGCCATTTGATCGCGGACAGGATACTCAAGACCTACCTGGAGGAGAGCGCCGTCCAGCAGCTTCCCCTGGAGGCGAGGACCCTGCAGGGCCTGCGGGAGCACCTGGCTTCTGGGGAGTTCACCCCCTGGATATTCAGAGCCCAGAAAGAGATTTGCAAGGTACAGGGCAGCAGCGGTCGGGCGGGGAGGTACCACTGGTCTTCACAGCCTGGGCTGGTGAAAGGACCACAGGCATGGTTAGAAGGAGAGGTATTTGGAAAACGAAGGTGAAGAGAGACCAGGGAGGACAGAACTTATGGTCACGAGTCAGCTTGTGCTGGAAGCAGTGACCGAGACACTGCAGGCCAGCAGAGAGGAGCATCCCCATGGGTTTGCCGTGCCGAGCAGTCATTTAGCAGCTGGTGACCTCGGCTGGATGCACGTGCCACGGGGATCACGGGACAGCAGCCGGCCCTTTGCATCTGAGTCACTGCTTCCAGCACAACGGGATTAAAGCACATTTTTAAAGCACATTTACAAAGCCAAGCACTTCTGGGCAATCTCTGAGCAGCCCAAGGGGCTGACCCCTGCGTGCAACCCCCTGGGCATCTCAGTGGGGTGCAACCTGCCCATGGAGTGCCACTTTCTGGTGGGGAACATGAGCACCAGCTGAGGCAGCCACCTCTGCTCCTCCCCAGGTCCTTTGCATCTTCTATGAGAAATTTCTGGCTGATGACGACAAGACCTTCCTCCAGTTTATGGTAAGGGGGATGCACGAGGGCTTTGGGCATCCTCAAGGGGTGTGCAAGCAGCAGTGGGGATGGAAAAAGGTGGTGAGAGGGAGGAGAGAAGCCCAGCAGCCCACAGCTCAGCCTTTGAGCCACGACCCAGCCCAGAAGCAGGGAGGGATTTAAAAGCAATCAGCCAGGGCAAGCACGGGTGAAGCCAGCAGCAAGTTGCGAAAAACACTTCTGGGAATTAATTCTCCCCCTTTTTTCCTGGTTCACAACAAATACTGCCATTAATCTGACTCATGGGCAGCCACAAGTGTGTACGTCCCTGTTCCAGCATGAGCGGTGCCTCGCCAGCACTGGGGAAGAGGGCGTGCAGCCTTTTGGCCTCTGATTCAACCACACTCAAGTTTTCCACGTGTTTCTTTCCACTGGGTAAAGCCGTGCTTTAAGAAAGCAGAGTCACACAAGCACTCATATTCCCAGCAGCAGAAATCCCATGTTTCTCAATGCCTTCCACCAGGAAGCCTTGCAGGGAGAAACCTCGGAGCATCCTGCCTGTTTGTGTCCCTTGCACAACCCACATAGGCAATTTTGCTTACCACAACTAACTTCTTCAGCCTGACCACTAGGATTTTCCCCAGATTGCAATGTAAATTCATCAGCTGGTCCCAGAAATGATTAGGACAGGCTTCCAGGGGCAGTGCCCCACAGACCTGGCTCACAGAGATGTCAGAACCGCAGTCAGCAAGAGCCGAGCTCTTACGGAGCAGTAGGTTGGCAGCTGTCAGCTCCTGACCCTGCTCATTAAATGCTCTTGGTTGTAAGTTAATTAGCTGCCCAGGTTTCTAAGCATCCCTTGTCGAGGAAATTACCTCTCAGAGCACACGCCTGGGCCAGGAGAGCAATTAGCAGTTCAGCAGGTGCCGTGGCCGTGCTCTCCGCAGGCACCATCCCCTAAGCCAAACTCATCCCAGCCCTTGCAGCACCGGTGTCAGAGGAGCTGCTCGGGGGCTTGGCGGGGTTATTTTTGGTGCTTGCTCTCAGCAGCATGCAACTCGGTCAGCAGACAGCCTGTCTGGCCCTGCTGCTCGGCCAGTCCTGCAGGCTGGTGGGGAGCCAAAACCTGCAGGAGGGTCTCAGTGGGATAGCAGGAGGCACTCCTGGGACACCGGCCAGAGCCAGTCCCAGGGCAGCAGCCAGCAGAAAAGGCACACGAGCTTACCTGTCTGCCCATGACACCTCCAGAGCTGTTTTCGGCCCTCCTGGCTGGATGTTGACCCCTTTAGGAAAGCTGCTGCCTTTGGCAGGCAAGCTGTTGCCTGGGTGAGCTGAGGGACCTGCTGCACTGCCCCAGGAACTGCTTTAGGAACAGCATGGACAGGTCCCAAGTTGGTGCTGAGCTTTGTGCTCACATAGATTTTCTTCCCAAGGTCTAACTTGGATAGGTTTGTACCCCAAAAAATGCTCAGCTGGCCTTCTAGGTTCAGCTCCTCCAACAGGAGGGGCTCCGTACCAGCCCCCTCTGCTCTTCTTGCTGCAGTCTCCGCAGGGCAACGTCCCAGCGCCCGAGGTGCAAGGGCACCCTGTCAGGAAAGAGGAATGTTTCCTCCTGTCCGAGAGGATAAACGAATCCTTGAAGCTGAGCCAGGCCTTGCATGGCACGAGGAATTTGGAAGGCCTCTCCTCCGAGCACTGGCGAGCCTGGGCCACTCGGCACCTCCAGCAAGGGGGCTCCAGCCAGGCAGAGACAGACCTCGTGAGCACGGCCGGTAAGAAATGCAGCACCCCAGGGAGAGCATGGGAACGGGACAGAGAAGGGGAAAGGCAAAAAGCTGTCACAACACAGCACTCGGTACGAGCTGAGGGGCTGACACAGCCTGCAGGAACAAACCCCGGATCTGTCCCCTCTTCTCTACCAGACGCAGACTCCCAGAAGGTGACATCAAATGAGCCGGCCGCTGAGAAAGCCCCGCTGCCTGCGGACAGCCCAAGCAAGGATAATGAGATTTCGCCTCCCAAAAGCCCACCGCCTGGTGAGTCCAGTCCGAGCAGGGCAGGAGCAGGGCAGGCTCCCAGCCAGCACTCCCTTAGGGTACCGGAGGAGCAGGGACCTTCCCTGTTTGCCTCCCAGCATCAGGAAAACATCTCCAGAAGGAGAGAGGTGTCACCCCAATGAAAGGGGCACCTTTTGGGGTGTTAAACCAGGCTGGAAGCACTTCTCTGAAGCTGATGCTGAGGAGGTCAAACCATGCGAGGGCAAAGGGCTTCTGCAGCATGCAGTGTCCCCGAGCTGGGCTCACCATGCAGCTACCATCAGGGTGGATCTGGAGGCAGCCTGGGCTTCTCCGGGGTCCCCTGCCCTGAGGACAGCTGTGAGCAGGCTCTAGCAGCCACCTGAGGAGGGAGCCAATGCTGTTCTGTCCCCACAGCTGCTGAGCCGGAGAACAAAAAGAAGAGGACTGCTCCTGGAAGAAAAACCAAATCGAGTGCCGCAAAGGTCACCTCTGCCGTGGTAGAGAAGCCAACTAAAAGACCCAGGTTGGCAGCTTGCAGCACAAGGCTTTGCAATTTTTATTTTTTGCTATTTACAATCTTTAAGGAAACAGGGCTGTTCCCACTGCTTTCCCATAGTGTCACTTCTCCTGGATTTGTCATTGGGCTCATTCAGATATAAACATGGGTGGCCCACAGGTCTGAAGTGTAGAGTGACCTAGACAGAAGGAAAGAAGTTTCTTTTTTTCTCTCCCAACCCCATAACCTGAATTTATTCCTCATGTCCTGTGCGCTTTGACCTCAGTCGCTCCCTGGCACACCACCTGCACTACAGCTAGGCAGCTCTCAGACCCCAAACCAGCACTTAAAATCACCGTGACCACGCTTGAATCTGTCCTCACTGACCATGAGGATGTCCGTGTGGAGTCCCACCTCCTGGGAGTACTCCAGACAAGAGCCCTGACAGCTCCACCTCAGGATATAAATGTCAACCAGGACGTGACTGGGGGAAGCTCTTATAATTTACTTTGAAAGTCAGTCTCAGGATCCACGTTTAGACAATGAACATACTTGACCCAGTCCACTAACCTTCAAACAAGGGCTCGCTAACCTTGTAAAGGACCCAAATTCCAGTCTGCTCCCAGGTGTGGTTTTTCCAAAGTTCTGCTGAATCTCTTCAATGATACGTAGGGGAGCACAACCTCCTCCTCCTCCCACCAGTCCTTCTGGGTGTCCCATCCTTACCTGCCTCCCTCCCCTGGTGTCTGCAGAGCATTTGCAGGTTCTGAGGTCTCCAACAAAGACCTTAAGTCCTGCCTCCTCCTTATCTCCTCAGAAAAAGCCTCCTCTTCAGGCTGAAACCAACTCCTTTCCTGGCCCATCTGCTTCATAACCCCCTAGGCACCACTGACCCATGTGTTTCCAGCTCTTTGGGTGCCTCTGGGTGGAGAAGCAGGGTATTTTCCAGGTGGGAGGCAGCACAGAGGTCACATCTCCTGGTGTCTCCTGCCCTGCAGGCACTTTGTGAAGGTGCTGCACAACCCTGCCCACCTGCAGTACTTCAGGCAGTTCCTCGAGGAGCGCAATGCAGATCAACCCCTGCGGTTCTGGATGGCCGTGGAGAAGCTAGTTGCAGAGCCCAATGCCAAGATCAAGAGCGCCCTCGTTAGCAGCATCGTCAGAAATTATTTCCACGGTGACATCCCGGCTGGTAGGCACCCTCCCACCCTGCACTTTACTCCAGTCAGGATGAAGGCTTCTTTTTCCCTGGCCTGGCTGCAGATTTTAGATCCTCTTGCAGGGACTTGCCAATCCTCCTTTCCCTGCCCAGTGTTTGCTGAGGGCTTCCACTGCCACGTATTCTAGGAAGGTGCTCTACTTCTGTGGCAGGATTTCCTGGCCAAGACCTGCAACCTGCAGTTCCCCCAGTGGCAGAAATCGCCCTTCCCTACCCCGTCTCCTTCAGGTGCTCTTGGAGGCCCAGCTTCACTCCCAAAATATGCAATTAGCACAGCATAGAAAGGAAAAGAGATGGGTACCAGATTCTGGGGCAGGCAGAGGTGGGACAGGGTGCCACGTGCAGATGGGAGGGTAGGAAGAGCTGTCACGGTGGCTCAGGGACAGCTTCTAGCAGCAGACAGTGACCACTTGTCTCTTCCAGAGGAACTGCTGGACTGCCACGCTTCTATCATCAAAGAAATCAGGGAGGCTGAAGTAGTCACACCCTTCATGTTGCTGACAGCCCAGGTCTTCGTCCAGAAAGCAATGGAAAAACGATGGTGAGAACCGGGCTCCAAATCCCAGCCAGACCCTCACCCCAGCAAAATTGTCACTGCAGCTGCCAAGGCACTTCCAGCCCCCGTCCCTTTCTCCATCCTCCTCCAGGACCAGGAGTCCTGCAGGACCCCAACCTCAGGGGCCATCCCCTCTCAGCTGCTCCCCATCCCGGCCACCAAACCACTGCCCTGCTCGTGCAGTCTGGCTGCCCCTGATGCTCTCTGGTCTCCCATCTGGCAGGTTTAAGGAGTACCAGGACCTGTTTCCCCCGAGTGAAACTCCCAAGTCTAACCTTCATTTGCGGCACAGGATGGGAAAATTCACGACAGACAGCCTGGTAAGGAAAGAGCCTCCCTGCCAGCAGGCTGGGGTGTTGTCTAGGAAAGAAAGAAAGAGGGGAGATGGTCTCTGTGTGGGAGCAAACCCCACAGCCGGGGGCTGGGTCCCCAGGGCTGTGCCACCAGCCGAGCCAGGCTGTGCCTCATCTCTGCAGAAGTGTGCCTGGTTCACCATCCACGACATCGTCAAGAGCATCTGCAAGTTCCATCGGGAGATGAACGACGACAAGTGCCGCATGGAGTTCGAGGGCTTTCTGCGGAAGGAAAGAGAAAACAAGGAGGAAAGTAAGGCTGGAGTCCTGTCGCCCCGCTCCTCTCTCCCCAGGACACTCCCAGGTTTAGGGGAGGTGAATGGAGGAAGCCTGTGGCTCCTCACCCATCCCCACGTGCTGAACCCTAATTGTTCTCTGCTGGAGGTATTTAGAGAGCTGGTGATGCAGGAGTGTCAGGATGCCAAATGTGTGCCGAAATCTTGGGTGATGAGGCACAGAACTCTGCACAAGCAACACAGATAACTTATTCATGCCATAGATGGTTTTCTGATGCCAAGTCCACCTAGATCAGGAAATCCCTGGAAATGGAAGTGTCTGGAAGTTGGAGAATATTGTATATAGGGGAAATAACAAATATTTTACCTCTCTTTCTCCCTTGTAATCCACTTGTGGCCTCTGTCAAAGACAGGATAACGGCTAGGTAGACTTTGACCTAACTTCATGTGGCCATCACCCCATGAAAACAACGAACAAAAGCACTCCATGAGTGCAAGGATGAGGACAGATGGATGAAGGAGGTCACTGAGCTAAGGGAAAAGCACACTGGGTGGATGTGAATTCCCTGGGGAGCCCTACAGGCTGCAGGAAGGCTGTAGTCCACGTAGGCTGAAAGGCCCTCAAGCAAATTCCTCGTGAGCAAGAAAAGCAAGCAAAGGTTAGGGGAGGGAGCCAGGTGTAGCATCAGATGCCCAGCCAGACTCAAACCAGCACTGGGAGAAGCAGGACCCAAACATTTTGTCCCCTCTCCCAGACCTGCCCCCCACCACGATGCGCAGCAGCAGCACCACGAGCACGTTACACTCCCACGACGTCTCCAGCGGCTCCCTGCAGGACAAGGACATGGCTCTGGTGAAACGCCAGCTCTTTGACAACCAGCTGATTACCGTCAACTTCCTCGTCGATGACCTCCGCTTTTATCTGGAGATCAACAAGTAAGCACCCTTTCCACAGGCACTCAGGTGCCAGCAGTCTGCCTCGGCCCAGGCCCAGGCCCAGGCCCTCCCTGAGGGTGGTGCCTGTCCCTCGGTAAGGGACAAAGCCACCCACAGCTTCTTCACACACCGGGGGCTCTTCTGACACCCCAAAACCCCCTCAACACCTCTGTGCCAGGCTGGGATCTGGACACCACGCTGCAGCATGGCATGACCAAAGCCTGTTCGCTGTCTGCAGTGAGCCTGCTGGTGGTTCCCCACCCCGTTCAGCTGTCCAACACCTCCTAGGTGTTGTTTTTGTGCCCCAGTAAATGCGGAGCCCAGCAGGAACATGCCTGCCTAGTAGCAAGGCACTTGTCTCAGAGCAAGACCTGCAGGCGTGCTTTTGCAGATTTTCCAGGCTGGCTGATTCGGCCGAAGCTTTGGCAGCCCACAACATGCGCTCAGACAAGGAAGTCGCCTTTCTCAAAAGGAAAGCTGCCATCATCAGCAAGCTCTTCCTGAACTCCGACATCCCCCCCAAACTGCGGGTAAGGTGCTGGCACCCACCCGGGAAGCTTGGAGGGGCTGCTGGCTGATCATTGCTCAAGGCCATCCCATTGCAGCCGTGAGGGAAGAAACCAGGCAAGGGTTGGGTCTGCTTCAGCCACACGTGCTCTGAACCTTCAGGACATGCTCCAGAGCTTGGGAAGCTCTGCACGGGCAATGGGAAAAAGCACCAGGATGGGTATTGCTATCCAATTCAGTCCTTTCATTCTCCACAGGCCAAAGCCACCATCATCCCTCCACAATGCACCCACCTCTTCACCTTGAGTAGCTGTGGCTCTGCGATCTTCCCTTTGGAAAGCACAGTGTTTTTCCAAAAAATCCAAGGGGGATCCAACCCATATACTCAGGACAGTCAGCCAGGACCTCAGTAGCATCTCTTTTTAGAGGCAGATGAAATACCAGGGGGGTTAGGGAGAGGGATGTGCCACCAGGAGTGCTACAAACCTACAAACTGCTCTGGCTAAGCACGGTCTCTTCCGTGGCCAGGTGAACATCTCTGAAGATGACAGAGACCTAATCTGGACCCTGTCTTCCAAGGGGCTGCTGAACCGCCTCCTCTACCACAAGGCCAAGGTCACCCTCCTCCCCATCCTGATACACTTCTGGAAGAGGTACCTGTCCCCTCCCTCCGAGGTGGCAGAGGCTGTGCGGGTGCCAGCCTCTTTCTCCAGCCACCTGGCTCCTCTGGCATGAAGAAAACGCAGACGAAACCCTCCCCGGGAGCACAGCTGTCGACATCTGCTTGGGGGTTTGCTGTCCCTGACTCCAGCCTTTCTCACACAGGTTCTGCAACTGGAAGGTGATGAAGAGCTTTCGGGTCTCCACGGTGGAGAGGGAGACAGCCTCATTGCCCAGTACAAATGCCTGTTCTGAAGTATCTGACATCTACAATCCAAGTAAGATGAGTGCCTGTCCCCCTGCTCCACGTTTGCCCTGTCTCACTGTCTCAACAGCCAGCTGACCAAGGCTGGGACAGACCTTGTTGAAGACATTCCTTCCCCTCAAATCCAGTCAAAATCACCCAGTGGGTTTTTAGAAATTCCTTTGGGGATTAGAGAAGTGGGGGCAGAGAGTTAATAAGCAAAGAGCTGTTGCATAAGTCTTGGTTTTTGAAGGAAATGAATTAAAAATACCCCATACACATGCTAAAACAGAAATTAAAGCAATGAATCTTTTGGGTTATAAGTCGGATGTGAGCAGGAAAAAGAAAGACTGCCCAGAACTGTGCAGGCAAACACCAGGCTTAGTGGCATTACACGGAGGATGCTTTGAACACTGGGAAAGGAGAAAAGGTTTCATGAGGATGTGAGGTGACACTCACTAGGATATCTCTAGGGAAAAAAAATTCTTTTCCCCTCATCCACTTATTTAGTTTCAATATACTAAACACTAAACTGTGAAAAACACAAAGAAAGCACTGTTAAGTGCTGTCACTCTGCCTGACAGCCTGGCTCCTTGACTGAATATTCATTTGGAAATTGTCTAATTGATTTTTGATTAGAGGGGAAACCAAAATAGGCACGTCCTAATCTTGCTTTGACGGCCGAGTGGGTGTCAGCAACGCAGCGTTCTGCTCCCGGTAATTTATCACTGTCAAGTTCTGGTTAAAATCAGCACGGCTGGAGGTTTTTTGATGTGAACAGGCAGGTGCTCGAGCTGCAGCTTGGCAGCCGAGCTGGAGTCGCAAACCCTGTGCTGGTGCTTTCACTCTGACATAGATCCTGCAGGGAACATCCCCAGGACAACTCTTGTCCCGAGCCACAGCTCCCTGGAGCACCTGCCTCTTTGCAGGGATGAATATCACGGGGAGAGATGTGCCATCTCAGCTCTGGGTCATTTCTCCTGCCCTATATCCCCTTCAGCCCAGTGGGGCAGGGATAAACACTGACGCACCCTGATGCAGGGCAGAAGCTGTCCCAGCTCCGGCTGCTGATGAGGAGGGAAGCAAAGTGACACACAACCCCCAGAGAGCTGCTGCTTCTGACTGTGCTCATGCCTCTGCCACCTTCTGCTAGGGACATTTTCTGCACCTTATCGCACTTTATCAACAAACTTTATCTAAGGATTTGCTTTGCTGACCTTCAGAGCTCGCTTTTCTGCTGGGAAAAATTGGGTGTGCTGCCTTAAAATTGCCAGGCGAGATATCTGCAATCCCCAGGAGAGCCCTCCTGTCGCCCACGTCTCGTTTTTGCCATATTTTGGTTATTACTTTGCTGTGCAGACAGAGGGTGCTGGGCTGGCCGCCTGTCGCCAGGCGTCACTGCGACACTGCCCTCGGGCTCTGCACAAGCCCGGTGGGACTCCAAGGGGACATTTCTCTTCTCCCTCCCCAGGCAATCACGTTGTCATCATGTTCACCCTCCTGGGAGGGATCCGCATCCTGCTGCCACATTCCCAGAAGAAAAAGGAGCTGCAAAAGGAGCTGCTGGAGGAGCAGAGGGGTGAGCTGGTGCCACAAGGGTTCCTGCTCCCCACAGCAGCTCCAGCTGCTGGGGTGAGAGCCCAGCTTTAGGGCTCCCCATGTCAGCTACGATGGGGGATTTTGTGCCTGTTGCTTTTCTCAGATTCAGAGAACCACCATGAGAAACATCTCCCACTCAGCAAGCCTGTAGGGCTCCCTGCAGGGCAGGTAGGTGGCTACAGGGGCAGCCCACCCTGCAAATAGCACCAAGGATGGGGTCCCAGAGCAAGGAGGCATTTCCCTCCCTCACTGCCCTCCCTGGGCTTGTGCTGCAGGTGCCAGCAGCTCCACCTCAACGCAGCTGCTGCTGCTCCTGGATGGGCTGTTTCCAGCCCCAGCTGGCTGCAGTCTCTCCCAGTAACACACACACACAGCCTCCAGTTGCTGAATGTCCCCATGCCCTAAGCACAGCCTCGTTAACACCATTCACCCACGCATCTATCAGCAGCAGCCACTGATACAGAGCTTCTCCCCTCTGCACAGGCTCAGGTGGAAAGACAGATGTCCCAGCACCTTACCCACGCTGAGCAGGGCAGGGATGTGCTCCAAGGAAGCTGAGCAGCCAAGACACACCACATAGGCTGCACTTAATCTGCAATAAGACCCGAAAAATAAAGCAACTGACAGCACCCTCCAGCCTGCCTGATAACACAGCACCGGCAGTGACTTGCAGGGACGTGCCACAAGGCATTTTGCCACCTGAGGAGACATCCATGCCACACAGCAGCCTCCTTCCCCTCGTTTATCTTTAAAAAACTGCATTGCCCGTGGCTGAGACCCAGTAGCTAAATAAATCACATTGGGTGTCCGGCAGGACAACACTTTGGTGTCTTCCCCAAAAAACGTGGGAGGTACATTTAGGTGGAAGGGCGCAGCTGTCCCCAGGGTGGTGAGGTGGTGCCCATCTTATCAGAGCCTGTTTTTTCCCCCCACCCAAAGTCAGCTTATGCCTGATTGAGGATTTTGGTTTTCTCGTTATTATTTTTATCAATATCCAGAGCACCTATCTTTCCCAAGCACTAACCAAACCCTACTGAACACCTTCACTTTCCTGCCTGACGGGAAGGAAGAGTGGCTCTGCTGAGCCACCAGGAAGCAGCAAAATTCCCCAGTGTACTTTGGACATGACTTCATTGAAGAATAGCCCAGGACCTTTAGCACGCCTTGCCTCTCATAGCTCCCACCCCTGCACGCTCTGCCTTGTAACTTGAAGTCTATTTTTAGCTATGCTTTAACCCTCAAATCCTAGACGGCTGCATCCTGGCAACAGCACAGGTGTATTTAAGGCAGGAGATAACATTTCTTATTTGTCCATTTTGATTATCAACACTTGGCTTGGGCAGAATCAAACAGGCCAACCCAAAGTCCAACACTTCTGTAAGTGAGAAGCTTCCCGTTGCCAGCTGCAAAACCAGCTGGCTCCCCAAAATTTGATTTTGCAGCTTGGTTTTGCCCCAAGCCCCCAGCCCCAAAGCTAGCTGCGTTTCCACGTGCCTTGCACTAGCACTTCAGCCCTAAAGGCGCTGTCCCTGTAGCGTGAGCCCAGCTGAACCCCGTCCCCAGAAGGATTCACAGATGTGGGGGCTCTGGTTTAGGCCTCCTGGAGTGCTCTCTGCTTCCAGGGAGGGCTTTTCACAGCCTTTCAGAGCCACCAAGTCACAGCCCTTTGGTACCACAGCAGGGCGAGGCAAGAGGGCACAAAGGTTGCAGCAGGCTGACAATGTGGAATTTTTATAATGCTCTCAAGGAGCCCAGCCCATGGCACAGCCCTGCCTGCTGGTTTGCAGCTGCATAAAAATACAAGCACGCACAGCTAAAGGGATGCAGAGCTCCACAATGCATCCTGACAGCCACTCGCTTGTCAATGAGACGGAGCAAACACATCCACCCTGAGTTCGGCACACACGTAGGCGCTGATGCTCAGCTTTGCACATCTGCTCATCCATGAGATCCTCACCCTCGCTCCACAGGAGTAAAACAAAGCAAAAAATAAATAAATAAATTAAAAATCCACTATCCAGCCCATTTCACAAGAGACCGTATGCTTCCAGGGAGAGGAAGCCTTCAGCACCCAGCAGAGCTCTCTCACAGGTAGAGATGGGGACCTCATTCATAAATATGTAGAAAACATTTTTCCAAATTTATTCTCCGTTTGGTTCTTCATAGGCTAACACAAAGAACAATAATCAGTTAAAAAAAAATCATTTCAACAGCTGGAAAACATTTCCATAAGCAATATATGATCATTGTGCAGCCCCGCGGGAACTGCTGGCAGAGAAACAAACAAGTCCTTGGGCCAGCAGGATGCCACCGGGCTCCAGAAATGGGTTTGTGCTGCTCAGCCCCAGTAGCAGAGCTCTGGGCTGCTGTGTATGAACGGCAGGGCCGGGCACCAACAGCATCTCTGCTTCTGGCTGCTGCGTTCAAGGAGTGGAAGGAGGGAATTCAAGTCTCGATAGTGGTACCCGTGTGGCTCATAAGTGCTATCTGTAGAGCTCCCTGCTAGGGAAACTCCTTCAGAGTCCCTGGTTGGCAATACCTGAGCTCTTCTGCCTCTTGCATGGATTGGGAATATGGGGCCTGTCCCACATCTCCTTGCTCTCTGTAAGAATCAGGGAGATGGGGACAGGGAGTCACGGGGGACCTGGGCTGGCACTCAGCCTGGCTCCTTGCCCAAGCCCTTGTCCTTACACCAATAACTTCTGAAGCACCTTTCATTTCTCCATGCTCTGTACCTGCATGTGCTCTCTCCTGTCTCTTTACCCAATTTCTTCAACTCTTTTTTTCAGCTGAAGAAATAGGGAACAAAAGGAGGCAGAGCAAGTGGGGATCAGCCATGGGACGTGAGGCAACAGCCTCCTACAGAGGAGGATCCTGAATGTCTACAAAGTGGCTGTATTCGGGATGCTGGCGCAAACGGTTGTAGACATAAATGGTCAGTGCTGGAAATTTCGTCAGGAAATACTTAGCATAGTCCCCTGTTATTTCACTGATCCTGAAACAGAACAAAAACAAAGTTTTTAGAGCACACCCAGGGAGCCCAGGATGCCCTGGTTCCTCCTTTGCATAGAAAAAGCCATTCCAGAGGCTGGTAAAGCAGGAAGATTTCCTACAAATCCCTGAGCTGTAACTTTTCCCTTCCCCAAGTTCTGGGCTCCGTCTTTTTGCCACTTCTCCAGCACCTCTATCTGCCTAGTTCCACCTGCACCTTCACAGAAAAGAAGTGGTGGCCTCAGCAAAACCACAGCTCGGGGTTACCACCACCACGTCACGGGGACCGCCGACCACAGGGGTAAGATACCCATGATTGCAGAGGGTTGGGGATTCAGGACCTCCTAGCAGGACCTCCTGACCCACTCAAGCACCTCAGCACAGCAACCATCAGCCCTTTGAGAACAGCAGTGAGGCAGGCAAGGAGGCTTCTCAAAGCTGAGATATAAAGATATCGCCCCTCATCGCAGAACAAGTCTGGGCGTCAGATTTTGTTTCTGATCGGACTGCTAGCTGCCAGGACACAAGCTCTCCCACACCACTGCTAGAGGACACAGCCCATCTAACAAATTATGTTTTAATGGACTTCTACATCTTGGCTACGTCCTCCCTTCTGAAGAACATTTTGCTCTCAAAGTGACCGACTCTCGCAGATTCCTAGGTGTCCCCAGCAACACAGGTGTCACAGGCACAAAGATGCAAACATCTACCTTTCATTGGGGTGTTCATCCAGGTTTCTGATGAACCTCAGAAGGTCTGTGACATTGCTTTTATAATAGAATTTTTTTCCATAACTGGATTTTTCCATGATACGCAGAACCTTTGGATGAATCTGAAAAAAAGGTGACAGGTTATTCCCTACCTTTCCCCGCCATGGAAGTAGCACACACACCTCCACTTATCACAGCTGCTGCCTTCCTGCAGAGGCATCGTCTTGCGTGGATAAGCCTTGTGACACTTCAAAGTGGGTTTGCCAGCATGAGCAGAAGACTTCACTCTACAGGACACGCACCGTGCAGACCCCTGGCTCTGCAAAGGGCTTCCTCTCCTGCCTTGTTGATGCAGGGTGTTATATTAGGACTGCCAACATGGCATGGCAGATTTCCATGCACGTCTGGAGGATGGGCCCATTGAGGGCCTCTCAGGCTGCCCTGCTGAACCATGCCTGCCAGATCTTACACTATGCACAAGGCCTTTCCAGGATGCTACCTGCAGTGGGGCCAGGACTGAAATGCTCAGGGAAAGCTTCTGCTGGATATCTAGCACAATCCCCACATTGATCCACAGAGAGGATGCTTACCATCTCAGTCCAGCACGGGTAAGGACTGCTAGCATTAATAGTTTCAAAAAGATCTTCATCCCATTGGAGATCCTTGATTTTATTCCAGGTACTCTTCAGGAGGTTGAACCTGCTGTGGAACAACAAGCTTCGTTAGCTGCAAGAGAACATCGCTGTCTCCAGCACCACAGGCAAATCCCATACTAAGAATGTTCCTTTACTCCCAGGACTTACGTCTGTTTGCTCCAGAAATAGGGGTGTTTGCTCAGACCCCACCATCCCTGGTCATCGTGAGAGGCCAGGCACTCTATAAGGTCCAGAGCCTCCTCGTAATCTGGGGAATTTGCATCCAAATCCTCAATACTGACTTCACGAAGGGGTTTCCTACCCCCTGCTAAGACATATAGCACGAGCCTGCTGAGGTCCTGCAAGGAAACATATCACTCAAGACACATGAAGCTTCTTACCAAAGGGACGAAGTGGAAGCAATGTTCATAAATGGGGAAAATGCACGCATAGACACGCACCTATAGGCGTGCACAAACACAGACGGGAACCCTGAAGCTGTGTGCACAAGGACTGAGGGGTCAGGCACTGTAATCCTGCTCCCGAGGTATCTGGGGAGGTCCCAGCACCAGCCACAGCCTTGCACCCTAATTCATTCTCATGCGGGGTTTGCTCTTCTACAGGCTTGCCCAAAAAACAGTGAGGCTGCTCCTTCTAGCTGAGGATGCACAAAGGCTTCTCTTGGGATTCACAGTGAAAGAAGATATCAGAAGTAGATAATATTTGAAAGCATTTATTGATTTGCAGGGAAGTTACCTGTAAGTCTGAGCTTATAAGTTCCTTGTTGCCTTCAATCAACACTCTGCTGTTATCAAAATCCGCCAAGTAAATTTTTCCAGCTAAATCTGAGGAAATAAGAGAAAATATCAACAAGCGATGGCAGAGAACCTTAACGCAAGTTTGTCACCTGTGTTCTGGATGGGGCCTTCTTTAGGAGACATCTCTGGAAAGACTTGCTGTGAGTTGAGCTACCCGCAAAGCCCTGGCAAGGCAGGCGGATCTCATGAGGCATGTCAGGCTGATCTATTCACCCTCCCAGGACTGTCCGGCAGCACACCTGTACCTACCCAAAGAGAACAAATGCCACAGACATCCCGTTCTGCATAAAGATACCTGCACTGGTGTTTCACATCTGATCTGAGGCAGGGGGTGTTAGAAAGCTACGAGGCACCTCCTCTAAACTATAGGCGACAGGAAAGCAAAACAAAAATAGATAGAAAACAAAACAACCTATCAAGAAGTTGCTGGGACGCAGAGCTTGGTGAGCAAATCCAAGGGAGTGCAGCTCTCTCACTGCCTGGAAGATCATCTTCAGGATGCCCTTGTAATCCTTTTCATCTTCTGGGTCCTGCAGGTGTTCTTCAAGGTTTTTCTCCCAGAGAGGGAAGCACAAGTACATGTAGCCTCTTTCCTTCTCAAACTGGAAGAGCTTCAGTAGATGCTCGCAGTCACCACACCGGTCGAGGAATTCCTTCTCTTCGCTACCCTGTGCGCTGAGGAATATTCTTACTGCCACTTCTGTCCCACCGTGGAGCCCCAGGTAGATGCCACCCCGGGAGGTGCTCTGGATTCTCTGACGGATGTACTGAAATACCTTTAGTTTGCCAATCATGGGCCGATAGATTTTATGAAGGCGTTGCAGCTGGCTCCTCCAGCATTTGCTCTTTGGCTCCCAGTTTTCATATCTTGCTGGGACATGCTTGGCATTGTACTTGCGAAGAAGACGTTGCATTGTATTAGAATATTTTCTATTTGCAATAGCAATAAGATTCCCAATGTCAGTCCTTGCCTCTTTTTCACACAACATCTCTGCAATATCACAATCATTATTCTCCACAGCCACCATCAGTGCTGTGTTGCCGTCCTCATCTGCATCATCGATATTTATTTCATCCTTGTCCAAGAAAGCTTTCACCAAACACTTGTTCTGCATTTCAACAGCTAGGATGAGGGCAGTTTTCCCAATTTCATCTCTGCATCTGACATTAACACCACAGTCCAGCAGGAAATGGACTATAGAGACAGCCTCAGATACTTTCCTCTCATGGACCTTGAGGGCATGGATCAAGGCATTTCTGTCTTTATTGTCACAAATGTTCAGATCAGCCCCCATATCTTTGACAAGAGTTTTTACAATTGAGAAGTGGCCATTCCTACAGGCATCCATCAGTGCAGTCCTGCCCCCTTTGTTCAGTTTCTCCTTCTCCTCGCTGGTTACCCTCCTCATGTTCACATCTGCCCCTTTGCTATGCAGGTATCTCAGGGCTTCCTCCTTCCCATACAAAGCAGCCTCCATGAGAGCTGTGAAGCCGTTGTCGTCATGATCATTGATATCAACCCCATAACCAAAAAGGAGCTCCAGGATTTCCACGTTTCCCACAATCGCTGCCACAATAAAGGCAGTGGCACCGTTGTCCTTCCTGGCGTGTGGACACGCGCCTCTGTCCAGCAGGAGCTGGACCATGTCCTTGTCCCCAGCCTGTACAGCAGTCTGCAGCGGTGTCCAGCCAAACTCCACTTTGGAGTTCACGTCTGCCCCTTCCTCCAGCAGCTCCAGCACCTTTTCTCTTTCGGAGTTTATCACGGCAACATTTAGCTTGGAGGCAAGACCATCTGCAGCCTCCATGCTGGATGAGGTGGCTGCCTCCTGCGCCCCAGGGTTACCTGGTATTTCGGTGGTGTTTTCGGGAGGAGAACACAGCAGGCAGGCAGAAACCGGCATTTGCATACGCGACATGCGGAACCGTGCTTAACGTATCTAAACAAATCAGAAAAGGGGCAGAGCAGCTTTAACTAAGAAGCTTAAATTCACAGTACTGCAACCCTCGGGAAAGGCAGACATCTTATTTTCGTTTCGTTTTGTCTCCCCTCCTCCCCCAAACCACCAAGCAGCAAACGAATACCGTATTTCACGGAGAAATGCACTGCATCTAACTTCCGTGCCTTTTGCTGCATGCAGACAAATAAATTGTTGCTTTCAGAGGACCCAAAGCACCCCACTCTTTCCTTAAAGCTGGGGGGGTCCGCGAGGCACAGCTGGGTGTGGGCAGGAGCAAAGGAGAAGGCAGAGCCTCTCTCTGGAGCACCAGGCTGGAAAAGCAGCACAGCATCCCCCCGGCACGGCCAGGGGCTGCAGACAGCAGGGGACACACGGATGCTCTCACCTACCACGGACCGCCGCCAGCACAGAGAACCTGCAAGAACTGGAGAGGGAAAGAGGTGGAGGAGAAGGTGTCCGAGGCGGAGGTTTACATTTGTTCTGCCCCTTTTTCTGCTTCTACTTCCTCCACCAAGAGGCAGAGCTGCAGACACACTGCCCAAGGAAGCACGAAGGGCTGCTCCCTTCCCCCTGTCCTGCAGCCAGACGCAGCTGCGCACTGCCTGACACGCAATGTTGACACATTGCTGACACAGCCCTGCCTGCTGTCACCCAGGGCCACCAGCCCCAGGCAGGAGGGGACAGGGCCCCCTGCCCAGCTGCAAACCCAGCAGCAGCTTAAAGCAACTCCGAAGCCAGGGAGCAGCTTTTCCCAGCAGCATCACGAGCACAATTTCTCCTCCCACTGGACGGAGCAGCGCCTGGGAGGATTTGATCCGCTTGTGGGGACGGCTGGGGGTTTGGGGAGGGAGCGAAAGGGTGTCTGGGGACATTTCAGCACAGGGGAGAGGTTTGCAAACCCCAGCAGCTGAAAGCTCAGAGATGTTAAATGCACCAGTACTGGTCTTCGATTGAAGCTTTTCCACACTTTTTGGTAAATCCATCCTTGTGGCCAAACCAGCCGAGCTCCTGGATCTCACCCAGGCAGTCACCAAGCCCCAGCTCCCTACCCGAGCTGTGCTGGAAGCAGGCAGCTGCCCCCTCTCACCCCAGCATCACTTTTTGTATTTTCCTCCTCTCCTACAACAGCCCCCAAGACAGCCTGCCAGAGACCGAGCTTCTTCCCCCAAGGGAACACCGAATTTTAGGTGACCGTGGACAACTGTGGAGGTCCTGTTGTTCGCGGGCTGTAGGCCAGCAGATGGGCGCATTGCAGGGATTGTGAGGTCCAATGATGACACCGTCCTCTCCAACCAGAGCTTGGGCTCTTGTCCGGTGACTTTGTTGTGTTCCCAGTGTGCCAGTGGGTTTTGTTGCTGAAGATCATTATTTTGGGTGTCCTTCACGTAGCTGCAGTGGTAATTTAAGGCTCGGAAGCATCTTCTAAAGAGCGACCTTTGGCTCATAGCAGGGATGCGTTGCAGTCCTTTGACCCATACCACCTGTGATTAAAAAATTCAGGTGACAACACAACGCCAACACCACCTAAGTAGAACAAAATCTCCCTTCAGGAAGCTGATTTAAAGTAGCTCCTTATCTGATGGTGGAAGGATGGAAGGGAGCCAGCTCTGACAGACACGCCATCAGAAGCGGCTCCCCACAAAATAAATCTGTAAGTACGACTGCAGGCAAGGCAGAACAGACTCGGGATGCCTTCCAGACAAACAAACAGCTTTGTGGTGACCGCAGTGAAAACACTGTGCTGTGCAGCACAACACTAGTTAGTTACCATGAGGGTAATGACAATAAGAAGCCAAATTGAGGACAGGAAAGCTTCTCGCTTGAAGGATGGCCATAATCAGCCAAGGGACAGGAAAAGTGATGGCCACCAAGTTCAGGGGAGCTGCTGCTGTCACCTGCTGTGCTTTACCTTCTCCCTCTGGTCTCAGGGAAGGAAAACATCACAAAAGTCACACCGCCACAGCAGACTGCATCCCTGTACCATGCAGCCCATCACTACAGGGCTTTTTGCTGCAGCTAGGCCAACACCAAGTCAGAAGCAAGGTGCTTGCAGCCATCAAGCAGAATTGTTGTGCATCTGTACACCAGCAAAGCAGGGCTTCACCAGAGCAAAGCATGGTTTTCCCCAGGATGGTTTTCCCCATTTTTTTCTCCCCAGCAAAGCTGGATTTCCCCATCCTTCCTCCCTGCTCCTAACTACTTTTGCACAACAGTAAGTTTAAGCACAACTGGGCAATTTTTGGAGAATAGAAAGGTCTCAGAGGCTTTTTAAAGCATAGGAGCTTCTGCAGAGTGCTTGTTTGCCCCCTGCAAGACAGGGGCTCAGGAGATGATCCTCCTCATCCTCTGTGCTGATGGATGTTCGCCCATGTCACAACCCTCCCCTGAGGCAGCATCCACGCCCTGGCTACCGCCCACAAAACCATGAGCTGAAACATGACAATAAAAACTGCCTGCCAAAGTTAAAATAATTTTTTTAAACGAACTATGAATAGTAGGATGGTTTTTTTTTGTTCGTGTTCCTTGCGCTTGCTTCCTTATTATATTTCTAAATGGGAACATCCCGGGGTTTATATGCTTGGCCACGCTGCTGGGGCTTGCTGGAACACAGCCCTGGAAAATAGCCTGCAGAAGGATGCGACCCAAGCCCTGGCAGGGCAGCTAGGAACACAGGAGCATTGACCAAGATTCATTTTGCAGTGGAGCATTGTTACGCTTTTCACCTGCATTTGCTGACCTTCGGGGCTGCTGCTCAACCCTGACCAGCACAAAAAGACCAGCGAGCCCATCAGCAAGAGCAGACTCAAGAAGATGTAAGGGCAACATCCAGGCATGTAGAGACCCCACCAAGCAGAGCACCATCCCCAGTACCTGGGCAAGAAGAGCAGAGCAGCTCCTCAAAAGGCATCCAAGATCACCCAAAACAGGTCACAGCAGCAGCTGTGCAACGACCTGAGCCTAAATGCATTTTCCCAGCTGGAGGTGGTTCCCAGCAGCGTTCCTCCCAGCTGTTTCTCATCCCTTGCCCTTCCCCACAGGTTGGGCCCAGATTACAGCATGTCAGAGCAGGCTTGGAGCACGGGGTTTCAGAGCCCAGCTGTGTGCTCAGCACCCCTGCAATGCCAGGAGGCAGAATTATTGCCTTTCACTTTGTATCGTGAGGCACTGCGCGGGTAGGAATCCTTGCACACAGCAGGGCAGGGTTGAAAACCGTGGCATTTAGTTGTACGGGGAAGGGAGGTGAGCCATAAGGAAACCCATCACATGGGATTTTTGGAGCTTTAGGAGGAAGGAGCAGGCTGGGAAGTAGTGCAGTGCAGCTGCTCCCTCCCCATCAGCTGGCGCAGAGGCTGGCAAAGCACTGCGACACAGCCTGCAGCGTGTGCAATACCTCAGCGCATCCCCTCTGCCGGTGAGCTTCCTTTAAAAAAAAAATAAAAATCCAGCAACATTTTATAACATTTATTTGCAGGCTGTCTTTTAAAAGAATATAATGGATGAACACATGCAATGACACATCAGTTTGCCCCCACGTGTGCACACCAACACGTGCCACCTGCCCAAATACGAGCTTTCACAGGGACCCCACATATGTAGCTGCACAGTGAGAGCACAGGTGTGCAAATACACGTGGGGCACGGTGCTGCTCAGGGCAATACCTCTTGAAACCCTCGGAGCAAGACATCTCTCAGGCACGCTGATGATTGCTTTCCATGCAGTAAATCCCCACGCAGCCCAGCTGATGGAAACTCAGCCCTGCAGCAAGTATGGGCTGTGCCCGGGGGGCAGTGCCTGCCTTGGCTCCCCACATCCGAAATCTTCCCTTCTGCTTCCAAATTCGCTGCCTCCACCCTGGGAAACTTCGGCTGTGGTTTATGGGAGCCTTCAGCTCCTGGTTCTCAAGGCGGGTCTGTGGTTTGTTTGTTTTTTTCCCAAGGCTTTAAAGGTTTTGTTATATTAGCACGGGGGGTTGACAGCAATTGTGGAGGGCAGGCTGGACGCAAGCAGGGCTTCTCGGGTTCTGTCAATGGAGTTTTCTCTCTGTGAAATGAAAAGAGCTGCAAATGAGATGCTCCAGTGCCAGCTGTAAAGGTCTCAGTGCTACCACCAAGACCAAAATGCAGGCTAGGATATTTTGACACACAGGGCACCAAGAGTGGACACAGCCCGATTTCCCCCTAAAAAAAAATTGCAAAAATATTTTAATTCTTAGCTAAGTATTTTTATTACCTTTTTTGTTTGTTTGGCAAATTTGAATATTTTTGAATGTAAAATCATGTTTAAATTAATTTCAAGGTGTGCAAGATTTTTTTTTTTTAGTCAGACCCTGCAGTTTAAAAGAACGTGATTTTGTTTCTGCCTGCTTCAGTTCTGCTCTGGTGCTCTCACTGAGTCTTTCTTGCTGGATAATTTAAACACATCCTGGCTACCTTCCGCCTCATTTCTTCCTTCTCAAATAAACATTAAAATAGGCAGTTTAATCTGGCTTCCTCCATTTAGGTGGATGGCAACTGTAGGGAGCAGGGTTGGGAAGGGCTGGTGTATTTTTGCACACCTGGGTTGCTTTTCACCTGGGGCAGCAGCACCTCTGAGCTACACCACCCCAAAACGTCCCAAAACTTGGGAAGCAGCAAGAGCTGCACCGGGGGTAGGATGGTTTCTGACAGTCCCTCTAATGCCAGGTGCTTCCCCCTGGAAAATAATTCACTCATTGATGGAATTAATGCTAAATCTAATGTTATTTATGAGAGTGAGCCAAAGCATCCTTCACATGAACCCTCCTGTGCTTAAAAGTCAACCGTGTCCTACTGATATTAAATGAATATTGTGAACTGCAGTCCTGAGAAACGCTCCGAAAAGGGTGAGCAATATAAACAGCACTAAACACATTGGCAATTGATATATTCATAACTTAACTATTGCTTTCAACCCTTTGGTGAACTGCTTATTTCTCTCCCATGAGCCAAATGCCAAGAGGAAGTTTTACCCTTCTCAAGTTTCCCCCTTGCCTTTCTGTGTTTCTCACATTGCAAGTTTTAAAGTGACCGTAAATGTGCCTCAAGCCACGCGCCGCCAGCAGCTTTCCTTACGTTGTGTGCTTTGTAACAGCCCCCCAGAATGCAAAAATAAAGTAAAAGCCCACAATCAAACGTGGTGTCACAGCATTGTCCTCTTTACAGTTTATTTTGTCATGACAATGTTATATTAGTAACAAAAATGGACCTTTGTGCATCATTTACCTCGGTAACACAAGGAAGGTGGTTCCAGTTGTAAAAATAAATAATAAATAGCAAAACATCTTAAATGGCCCTGTAAATGCAGCCGGGACCCACCAAGACTCAGAGGTAGAATTGGGAAGAGTCAGAAAAAAACATCCCCAAACTGGTCCTTGGGAGTCCTTGGCTGCAGACTGGTTTGCCAGCCAAAGAAACACCAGACCCGACTGCAAATCAGGGGAAAAAAACATTTTTTTCTCTTCCACGTGTTTAAAACCTAAGTTTTCAACACTCGAAGTGCCTGTTCTACGTGGCTATTCTCTGCCTAGGACA